CAAACGCTTATTCCTGCGAGGTAGGGCAGCGTGAGCGTGAGCGCTTACTTTTCGGAACACAATAGGTGCTTTCCAATTGCTTAACACATCTTGACACACACATACACAAAACCAGTTTACTGGTCACATATTATCTAAAATATCTTGTAAGATAATATGCAACCAATAAACTGGTTTTGTGTAACACAGTGTACGCAACTGGAAAGCACCCCATATCAGCGCTTACGATGCATCACAAATGACTGTCTTTAAGAATACAAAGAAAGAGTATAAACGATATGAGACAAACATGGGAGTTCATTCAACTCAAATAATCCTGACAGCATAAAATTTCCTGAGGACGTCCTAAGGACGTCCTGAGGACGAAGAAATGTCCTCAGGACTTCCTCAGGATATACTCTGGATGTCTCCTGGACATCTATGCTGTTAGGGAATGTATTAGAAACATAAAAACTCAAATAATGTGTTAGAAACACATAATAATAATACATAATACACATAATAATAATACATAATACACATAATAATAATACATAATACACATAATAATAATACATAATACACATAATAATAATACATAATACACATAATAATAATACATAATACACATAATAATAATACATAATACACATAATAATAATACATAATACACATAATAATAATACATAATACACATAATAATAATACATAATACACATAATAATAATACATAATACACATAATAATAATACATAATACACATAATAATAATACATAATACACATAATAATAATACATAATACACATAATAATAATACATAATACACATAATAATAATACATAATACACATAATAATAATACATAATACACATAATAATAATACATAATACACATAATAATAATACATAATACACATAATAATAATACATAATACACATAATAATAATACATAATACACATAATAATAATACATAATACACATAATAATAATACATAATACACATAATAATAATACATAATACACATAATAATAATACATAATACACATAATAATAATACATAATACACATAATAATAATACATAATAACATATGGCTGATTTTCAGAAAAGTGGTATATTTCACGACATAAAACGGCCAACATTTCAATATATACAACATTTTTTCAGGTATTATCGTTAGTTATTGCTTTTAGAATATACACCAAAAGTGGGTCAACGTTAACTTGTAAGAATGAGTAATTATTCATAACTTATCAAAATTTAATTGCCACGGTAGTGACACGTTTGTCACGGTAGAGACTTCTTTATTAAAATATAATACAAAATGGAAATTAAACGTAGTAAAAGTATTCAAATAATACATGTAATCATGAATAAACACATTTTTGTAATTATATACATATAGGTAAGTTTATATCCAGATAGAAATAAATGAACATAAAACTTGGTACGTTTTTTCATTATAAAATTTATTTGATTTCATAAACATAAACTCTAAACGTAACACTAACGGAAACTAAAATACTTATTTATTTAATACTTTAATATGTAACTTTTAATCTTAATATTACATGTATCAAATTCATAAACACTTTTATTCGAAATCTATTTCTTTGGCTTTCTTTTGCGACTAAAGGTTAACTTATTTTCGGATCTTTTCTGACTTTTCTCTAGTTCATTGCTATCGTATTTTAGTTTGCCTTTTGAGAAATGATTGCAATTGCTGTCATACAAACATTGAAAACAATAAATTAAAATTTACTTCTAAAGGTTTCTGAGAAATCCATACGTACTGTTGAACTTGTCTTGTACCAATAAATGACTTAATTTGAGCAGGAATTTCATTATCATGTAACGATGCACACCTGCATCGTCACTACTCCGGCCCGACCGACCATCAGTCGGGCCGTGCACCGGCGCGTTGCGCCAACATAAACGCCGTAAGGCCTAAGAGACAAAACGCGTAAACAGCTGACAATAAGCGTAAACAAAGCGAGCGAGGAACACGCGATAACGCGAGCACAGCGTCACACAAAGGAAACGATAGAGAGCGAGCGCCGCGGGCACGCGACAAGCACGTGTACAGCGAGCGAAAACAAAACGGCGTCAAGTATATAATCCGCGACGCCAAATTAATCGAGACCAGACCGATCCGGGGCCGTCAACCGAACTCGATGCTACAGCGGAGAGCAAGGCCTACGACCGACTCGTATCTGCTTCCTCAACCTGCCAACTATCACATCCTCGCAAACAAGGACCGAAGCCAGTATGTTAGCTGCGCTCTGTCGATCTTTATCGACTCTTATTTGCATCCCGTCGACGTCCCGAACAAGGACCGAAGCCAGTAAGTTAGCTGCGCTCTGTCGAGCTTTCTCGACCCTTGTTCTCAGCCTTTCGACGAGCGAGATCGGGGATGAATACGCCGATACATCGGCTACTCACGTCCCATCCCGTCTCTTGCGACGCAGACGTGCAAGCGAACGCGTCCCCGCTAAGAACGCGAAGACAGCATACAGTACTGAGATACGACTTCGATACCGCCGACACCGCGCGGCCCCCGCGACCAACCGCGCGAGCCGCGCACGAATCGCGAACACCGAATCGCGACACGCGACCGCCTGCCGAACCTCCGAGGCGAGCTTAGCTTTCGCGCTATACGCTCCGCCTACCGACTTACCTGCCGCGACATACCGAAACCGCGATCTGGTAACTGGCGCTGTCACCCAGGAGAACTGTATACTAATACGCGATTACTCTGTACCAAGGCTAAATAAATCTTTTTGTTATTTTTGCTTATTACAATCCGCGTCATCTTATTTCACGAACCCGGACTCCGACGAGCGAATAAATCCGTGGCATCTACACCAACCGACACGCGGAGTACACGGTTGTTACAACCAATAAGATTGATTTGTTGAAGTGTCACTGTTGAAATATATATATTCTGTATTTGTCTTTTAAGAATACTTGTAAGAGATTCCAAATTTTGAATATCTTTTCCGTATTTCACTTCATTATCAGCTATTCGTTTTAAGGTACCTCCAATACCATCTGCAGGACTTTTACCGTGACCTGCTACACTGAAGTTGTACGTAATGGTATTTATTTGAGTGTAGCATTTTGGTAAATATTGCGTAATTAAATAGAACATGGATCGATTTTTATATTGTGTAGTGGGGCCGTCGCTTAAAAAGTGTACAGTTGTTACATTGGAGAATCATGTTAAATAAAAATTAAGAACTACTTTCAAATGAGCTATCACAGCAGCAGCGTCGTGACGTAGAGATTCTGATAGCGTACTGAATCCTTGAAAGAAGTTAAATGTATAAAACATTCCAGTGTGTAGAGATATTTGCTGTCTGCTAGCTCCAAAATGAACTGACTGAACCTTTAGGTAGCACATTTACACAAATAATTTTCACTAAAATCCATTAAAATAAGGCATTCATGAGTTTGTAAATTTTCCTTTAATCTTTTTATTACTAATTGTTGATGGTAAATCTTGTACTCATGTTCTAAATATAAATTCAATTCTGAATTAAACAAATTCATTACTGCAGTCATTTGACATTTTACTTTTTCTTTTTTTGTTATTTGCACAACAATATTTTTGTTTGTTTTTGCACTAATGCGCTGCTCCTTTTTGGTAACCCATTTATAAAAGAAAAGTTCTTCATTAATTTTATGATCAAAATTTAGAGAAATTTGTTTCCTCGCACACACTGAACATTTTCTTGCATAGCATTTCTCTAATCTTTGTTGACAAATAAGATTCATTACAATTTTATTCGGAGAGCTTTCCACAATTATTTTATTATTATGCAACACTTGAACAAATAATTTAAAATTTTCATGAAGAAAACATGCATATGTGTCTCTCGCAGTTATTTTAGGTGGAACACAGTGTGCCGGACGAAGTCTAGTAAATGTTGTGTAACTAATACGAAAATTACTTTCTGTACAAAATTTAGTGTACAAGTCTGTCAACGGAGCATTCAAATAGAATTTTTGTTTACTGTCGATTTTAATACACCCTTTTTTACTAGGATCCATTTGACTATTTTCTTCCAGAAAGGACTTTATTTTATTTGTAACATAATCTTGTACTGTTTTATTTTTTTCTAATTTGTTAAATTGGTTAATATTTGTAATTCTTGAATTTTTAACTGATGCAATAGAAGTTTTAACACTACTTAATAGTTTATATTTTTTTACAATTTTACCGCATAAAATTGTAGCTAATGACTGCTTACGTTTTATATTTTTTTCATTACTATAAGCTGTTTTGAGTTCGGTTTTTAGTACCTCACTAAATAGTAATTTACTTTTTATATCTGGAGAAACTGTTCGACCTTGTAAAAATTTGTTTACTTGCGATTTCGGAGAATTTGTATGTGATTTCTTAAGTTTATTTTCCAATCGGTCATTTCTTTTCATATACTTGCGTACAGTTGTTTTTAATTTCTTATTTTGTTCAATTAATTTTGCATTATCTATATAGCATTTTCTTATTCTTCGACGTACTCTTTTTTTACTTTCTTTAAATTGTTTGGTGGTTCTACCTGTGTTATCCATATTATCCTTTATTTCGATTAATTCATTTGAAAGCTCTTGTTCCTTTTTTCTTAATCGCGATATTCTTTTACGCTCTCGTTGTTGCTTTCTACGTAACCTCAATCTGTCAAATCATTAATTAATAATATCTTTCCCTCTTGTTTTCTTTTAGCATTTCTTTCCTTTTCTTTTTCACAATAAGCTTTATATGCAACTGGATCTTTTCTTATTTTTTTTCTTCTCACTTGCTCAGCTAAGCGTTTTTTTTCAAGCCTTTTATTTTTTTCACTCTTTGCCTAAAGAAAATAGGAAAATGTATAGTTTAATATAATTCAACTTTTATTTAATTAAAAGGGCAGTGACCTTTGCAACATATGTCAAAGTCAAGGTCATTGGAGCTGACTCCCTTATAGTTGATAATTACCAATTAAAATGTTTAATTAAGAAAGATAACAAATTTATACGTGCCTTCTTACTTTGAACCTTAATTTTAATTTTAGTTCTTTTTCTGCTTGTAGATGCTTGTTCGATAATTTGTTGTGATTCATAAGCTTTTTTTCTATTATTGCGAAGTTTAGGTGCCATTCTGTATATAAATGTGAATAAAATTAGTGACAAATACAATAGATTCTACTAAATCGTTGTTTTGTCCACGGTAGTGACATTGCCACGGTAGTGACATACAAGGTTATGTCTACCTTTCTTCGTGAAGAGTTACTTTTAAAATGTTGACGATGTAAACTTTTTTTTCTCTATTCACGCAAACTTTTTTAGTTATCACACTTATTCTTATTATATTCTGTTACTTTGATTTCTATGTCACGGTTGTGACCAAATATTTTAACCACTGGCGTATTCTTTCAACAATTTTTGTTTTCAAGCCGCCAAAACATAGGACAAGCCAAGTTGCGCCGGTAAAACAATCTTAAAACGTTAATCTATAAGTATACCATCTATCGGAGCTTGAAATAAACTACAACGCTCTATTCGTAGTACATAAAGTTATAACTTTAAATTCAGCAAATATTGAAAGACAAGATATAAGTCGTATTTCTAGACATATAATAAACCGACAGAAAGTGAATAATTGTGAGAATAATATATTTTAATAAGAATTTCAAGATAAAAAAAATCAAATTAATTAAATCTCACATTTTAACCACCAAAATTACTTTGGAAGTACAGATTTTTAAAAAGAGACATGCCACGGTAGTGAATTTTGACAACGTACAACTTAAAATTTATGATATTGGGCAAATATTCAAATATTCTCTACGCAAAACAGTGATATTTATTTATATATTTATAAATATAAATGCACAAAAGCGTTGTGTATTGTTTTTCTATAATAAAAGTATGTAAGACACGGAATATACCACTTTTGTGAAAATCAGCCATATAATAATGTGTTAGAAACTCTAAAATGGTTTATAACTTTTTGCGATATGGATTTTCATCTTCATCATCAAATGTAACTAATAATAATATTATTATGTGCGTTAACGAAATATAAAGCATATTATTGTCCGACATCTTGACGCGCTTATAATCACTTACAATGCCCAAACGAATGGTACCCCTGAGCGCCCGTGAGCGCTCAAATACCAAACCGAGGGTGGGACCCGATTGACCACGATACGATTGGACACAGATTGTAATGATTGATTCGACCTAGTAATTTACTAGATAATTCCTTTCATCGGTTGGTTGTGTTCAATCGTACCGTGGTCAATCGGGACGCTCCTCCAAACCGGTTAAAAATATGGCTCCTGCACACAGAACGCGGTAATGCTTGCCGCGCGGCGGAAGTTCGCGCGACAGCCAATCAATATGTTGTTTTTCCGTAAGAACTAAAAGGTTATTACGGAAAGCAGCATATTGATTGGCTGTCGCATGAACTTTTGCTGCGCGGCAACCATTACCGCGTCCTATGTGCAGGAGCCAATAGCGTTTATAAGCGTGAGTGCTTACAGCGCATAAGCGTTCAAAACGAACATACCCCTTAAGTACTGCTTAAGATGTCACGAACCAATCACAAAGCCGTGTTCGCATCTTAAGACATTACTTGAAGCCCGTATCAGACTATGGATTAAGATTGAGATTGAATTGAAAATTAGCCAATCAGAGCAAAATTCACTAAGCTCAAGTTTGTTGAACTTTGCTCTGATTGGCCAATTTTCAATTCAATCTCAATCTTAATCCGTAGTCTAATACGGGCTTAAGACAGTCTTGAAATAAGATTTGATTATGAATACCGGCCTATGGCTAGTACTCATAGTCGAATCTTATAGCATGTTCGACTGGCTCTGGGTTAACCCACTCTAGGTTATTCAGCCTACGTTTATTGGTGAAACAAGTACTTATAAGCTTTATGATTGGCTAGTAGAAACTTATGACGTCATTAATTGCTCTCGGAGCGATCAACCCAGGGTCAGTCGAACACGCTATTATTTTTAATAGATCTTATATTTAAAAGCCGATCTACATTGGTCGTATCGTAACGTCGTAAACGTTGTGCGATTTGTCGTGACAAGTCGTCGTAGAAGTTTAGTCAAACTCGAACTTCAACGATTCTACAACACTAAGTTTGCTATGATCAACCAATCAGTGACGAGCTAGAGTCATATTATTTAAAAATATATATAGCACAAAAAGTAATCATATTCATCATTAAAAGTATATACTTTTGTACAACTCACGAGCATTATGCTACGATTTTGCGATGTCACAACGTTATGATACGACCAGTGTGGATAGGCCTTAAGATTATCTTAAGTAGGGAGCGTTCCGATTGATCACGGTACGATTGGACACAACCAACCGATGCAAAGAATTATCTAGTGAATTACTAGGTCGAACCAATCATTACAATCTGTGTCCAATCGTATCGTGGTCAATCGGGTCCCACCCTCTTAAGTACTATCTTAAGATGTCATGAACCAATCACAGAGCCATATTCGCATCTTAAGACATTACTTAAGACGGTCTTGAAATAAGATTCGACTATGGGTGCTTTTCAATTGCTTAACACATCTTGACACACAAAACCAGTTTATTAATCACATAATATCTATAATATCTTGTAAGATAATATGTAACCAATAAACTGGTTTTGTGTAACACAGTGTACGCAACTGGAAAGCACCCTATGAATACCGGCCATAGCCCTTATAGAAATATCATACTAAGAATCATTGATAATTACTTAATATCCAGTATTTTTAATACTGAAAATAAGTAATTATCTATGATTCTTAGTATGATATTTCTATAAGGCAGGCTCATATTCTGAATCCTCTTTTATCGATAAAAGTGCCTTAAATGTAGCTTCTCAACCAATCAGGTGGCTCCTAAGCCTCTTTTAGAGGCAATTTTATAGGTAAAAGAGAATTAAGAATATGGGCCATAATGCACAACGCATAAGATAATTAACCAATTAGAATTCTCATTTCTATTGCCACGATGAAAATGAAGAACTCTGATTGATTAATTTTCTTATGCGTTAGGCTGAGTTCCCACTTAGGACGTCACGCGCATTGACTATATAACCATGGACTGCTAGCCGCTAACTTGTGTCTGCAGCAAAACGTCTGTCAACATCTGCAGCGCCGTCAGGAATAAACAGGAACGGCTATTACGTAACTATTACATACTTGTGATTTCTATTTTACCATGTAAAAGATATCTTGTGTGTGTGTCCGTGATTATAAATTGCAGTTATCAATAAAATACATAAAAAATATATTTCTTTAATCGTCAATAATAGACGTTTTCATTTGTTTTCAAATAAATTATTACATTAAAAAATAAGTTATACAACTTTGCTATAACATAAAAATCAACATTTTTTAAAGTAACAAGAAAGAAATCTGATTTGCAAGGAAAATATAAAAACACAAAATAAGATATTTATATAATTTGATATCAAATTTGTATTTATTATATTACATAAGAATATATAATATTTATATAATATTTAATATTTATATAATATATTTATATAAGAGATATATAATAAGAGATATATAATATATGAATAAAACCCTTATAGAAATATCATACTAAGAATCATTGATAATTACTTATTATGCAGTATTTTTAATACTGAAAATAAGTAATTATCAATGATTCTTAGTATGATATTTCTATAAGGGAAAAATATATATATTACGAATGTTTATATAATATGTATGTAATATTATAAAAAGAACGTTCAACATTTTTTAAAACATTATTTAAAATACCGTCATTTGAGGTAACTTGGAACACTGGCGTAACTTTGAACAATTTGCAACGGCTTACAAAAACATGTGGCATTATTAAACGGATACCTTTATAGAAATATCATACTAAGAATCATTGATAATTACTTATTATCCAGTATTTTTAATACTGAAAATAAGTAATTATCAATGATTCTTAGTATGATATTTCTATAAGGGAAAAATATATATATTACGAATGTTTATATAATATGTATGTAATATTATAAAAAGAACGTTCAACATTTTTTAAAACATTATTTAAAATACCGTCATTTGAGGTAACTTGGAACACTGGCGTAACTTTGAACAATTTGCAACGGCTTACAAAAACATGTGGCATTATTAAACGGATACCTTTATAGAAATATCATACTAAGAATCATTGATAATTACTTAT